GGGGTAGTGGTAGTGGTAGTGGTAGTGGTAGTGGTAGTAGTAGTAGTAGTAGTAGTAGTAGTAGCAGCATTGTTGTTGTTGTTGTTATTGTTATCATCTTCTTTAACTTAATTCATATCATTATACTACTACGTGAGAAATTTTTGCAATTTGATTGGCTTAGAGCAGTGGTATTTCAGCTTAATTTGAAATACCTACATGTGAAAATTACAAACCTTTTGCAAGTAGCAGTATAAACAAATAATAGTATGATTTGTACGTGATATTTGGCATAAATACCACTCGTGATATTTCAAAGTTGTCTCAAATTTCACTCGCCTAATTGCTCGTGAAATTACGTATAAGAATTTTGAAATATCACTCGTGGTACTTACGCCAAATATCACTACAAATCATGCTTTTACCTATAATAATACAGCATGATAACCGAGCCCATTACTGGGGCCTAGGGTTAGACTGAGGTAGAAGTCTATTTGCTGGAGAGTGCCTTTGTTAGGATGTGAGATGTTCCAAGTAGTGAGATCTTCTGTAGTTCATGCATTTTGATGTTACCCGGGGTTTGTTGTATATATTTCTCCAACCCTTTCTTTACCAGTCCCAGGGCTCCTCTCACTACCGGAATTGTTGTAGCTTTCATCCCCCACTTTCTTTCAATTTCGATTTTAAGGTCTTTATATTTTGACAGTTTTTCAGTTACTTTATTTGAAGTGTTCTTTTCAGTGGGTATGGACATATCAATAAGCAGGCATCTTTTTTCCTGTTTGTTCTTGATTACAATGTCTGGTCTGTTGGCCTTTATCTCTCGATCTGACTTTAATTGGCATATCTCACAAGATGGTGATATTGTCTTTTTGTGTTACTGTTTGGGGCTGATGCTTGTATCATTTCTCGTTTGTGTTTATATTCATCTCTTTGCAAATGTTCCAGTGCAGATATGTGGCGGCTTTGTAGTGTCTGTGTAAGTATCCAGTTTTGGCCAGCCCAGGGTACCCTGCCACAATATGGTCAATGGTTTCCTGAAATTGACCACAAATCCTGCACATTGGGTCTGTACCATCCTTTAGGATCTTGCCGCAGTAGTAGTTGGTCTTGATGGCCTGGTCTTGGGCAGCAATGATAAAAAGCCCTCTGTTTCGGACTTAAGCTCAGCTGTCTTAAGCCACTGGTTGCCCATTTGATGGTCCACATCTTTCTTGTGTACTCTTTTTGGGTATTGTCCATGCATTGGTTTATCTTCCCACCTTTGTTTCAATTGCTCTTGGACATGGTGCGTTTTTACCTTTTCTGGCATAGAAAAAATCGAGCTTTGTTTTCAGGTTCCAATGTTTCAGGGAAGTTTAATTCTCTCTTATGACCATTGAGGCCTGGCTAGCTACGAGCAACGGGCGGCCGAGAAAGATTACAAGTTGTTGCGAAGCTGCGGCCAAATTGACGGAATTAAACGCTAAGTTAGACAAGGTCCTTCAAGCTGTTAGCGAACTGGATGTTGTCAAACAGCAATGCAAAGAGCTAGAAGAAGGGAGAAAGGAAATACTTGCAATGAAATCTCTATAAGCTGTCTGTTTAACAAAAGCATCGATAGTAAGGAACTTCTTTAAATTAAGGAGGATACAATATTGAACAATACAATACAAACTTTGTTGACACTCCCTAAAGGGGGCTTTTCATTGACAACGATAATTAGTTTCAAAATACGTCGAAACGAGAGTAAATCTAAAAATTACAAATTTACAATAATAAAATGTTTATGGAAAAAAATTAAGAAACCTAAAATGTTAATAAATATTCATTACAACTGAAACAGAAACTTAAAAAAAAAGATATGATATAAACTAAGACCGATAAGATAGGAAAACAACAAATAATTTGGCTATAAGTTTACGCTTAAAATTACTAGCAGAGTCGCAAAGTTTAAGGGAATTATCTAAACTGTAATCCACTGACTTACTATACGATAAAAAAAATGTTCTGTGTCCAGATTTAGATTCATGGTCTACTTATGAGTTCAGCATCACTGAAAAAAAAAGAAAGAAATAGTTATTAATTCAGATGTTAGTCAAATTTTGCCCAGAAAACGATGCAAATCTAAACTTATAAAAAGTTTTGAAACGCAAAAAATAATATTTAGCTTTAATGCTGCATCTTAGGCTATTATATTTAGGAACGAACTCTTAGCGATAGCAGTCTGGTTGCTTTTTACAATTCGGGTTGGTTTTTGCAATCCTTTCTTTCTTTCTTCCTTCCTTCCTTTGTTTATTTATTTATTTTGTTGTTTTTAACCAGATACAGATAGCTAAAAGACTGGATGGCGCTATCCCTCGGATAAACTACCGTCAAGTAAAATCATTGGGAAATCAAATTGCTTATTGCACACGATAGTTAATATTTTTTTCAGTGGAGAATGATCGCTTTCTAATGGGGTCGAGTAACAGGGATAACCCTTCCTAACATTTATCTGAATATCATTTTACTTTTTCAAACTTTTCGTTTTGACTAGAGCCTTGCCACCCTCTACAAATGCCCAGTAATGGAAAAATACACAATAACAATACCAAACACGGTGCATTAGTCTCGTTTTCATGTAATACTGGATTCAAATTACATGGCTCAAGGCAGATCACATGCGTTGACGGAAGGTGGAATGGCAGTATCCCAACTTGTAAAGGTTTGAATATTGCTCTATACACGATTTCTTTCACTGAGTTTTACTTTAATTCTCTTTTCTGAAAGAGCAACTGTTTTTACATCATATTATCGATTTGCCCTGTTTTTAAAGGCTACTGTAAGGATCCTGGGCCTTTGAGGAATGGGTCAGTCCTTGGGGATGATTATAGTTCTGGCTCTTCCCTTCAATTTCGATGCAACGTTGGTTATCGTCTTCGTGGGTCACAAATAATATATTGCGTTAATGGAACATGGAATGAAACCATCCCTGAATGTAAAAGTAAGTTATTGACAGTAAAGTATTTAATGCATACAGCTTACTGTAGTTAGACCATTCCTAAATGTGCAAGAAAATTGAATATGGCGGTTTACGATAAAACTCCGGCGGCTTTGCATCTCCCAAATCAATCGGATTAAAATGTAGTTAAAATTTAAAATGAATAGTGGAGCTCAAACTAGTAAATATTTGGATGCCATAAAAGATTGTTTCATTTTTCATGCTCTAGAGGGGAGTCCTGAACTCTTAGTTTACCATTGCTATGGAGATGCTTGTTCATGCAAAGTGTTATCTTCAGACAAGTTTCATCTTCCATTTTCTGACGCACTTTAATCAGCTTAATATTAATTGGAGAGACATGCAAAATTATGTGAGACCGGTTTTCGATTGTATTTTTACTGGCAACGTAGTGTTGAGTTTGTTGTTGAGTTTGCCCAAGCGGAGGATTATTTTGAGCCAAACCCAGAAGCGGAGCTCCGTATAAACATTTTGACTTGAATCAATAAACTTCACACTGTTGAATGCGAAAACCAATCGAAACCGAATATTAAAAAACTTTGATTTATGGGCGGAGAAGAATGTTGATTGTTTTTCTTACTCCTGATTTTGACAAAAACAGTGACTTTAGGTTTGCTGTGATTGAGCGTCTGCACGTATATAACCAAAATCTTAACGTATTCTTAAAATTACTTATCTTTAGTGTATAATTTAGATTTTTTGGAGTATAAAATAAAGTGAGTTTGATGGGGACAACTCAAATCTAAACTTCATACCCAAAAATTGAATGGGAAAAACTACAATATTAATCCTTTCTTGAAGTGTAGCTAGTATTGTTTATAATCTCTTAATCTAAACATGCAGATAATTTGCTTTATCGTTCCTGTCACAAACGAGAATTTTCGATGTTGAGAGTTTTAAGAAAAGATTCAACTACCTTTACAACGAATGATGAGAAATGGGAGTTAAATATGTCTCTAAAAGAGTAAATTAGCGATAGCTTAAAAATGAAACTTCGCTATTTGTTAATTACCGCAGCTAAATAACGCTAACATATAATTGTTGTGATATAGCCTAGTTAAGAAGGCCAAACAATTTATGTGGTTACGTCAAATATGGGCCTTTTATTAAAGAAAGACAACTATCAGATAAATTTAAAGTATGAAGAGGATGACATAGGAGAAGTGATTCACGTCCGAGGCTTTTAAAGAAAGCCTGCAGTCCTCGTTGCTCTAAGATATTTACACTTTTACCCTGAAACCTTTCAGTAAAAGGGCACGCTTTTGTAGTTGACACTCTGTTGTTCGCAACGCCCGCTGTCCTACACTCGGTTCCCATAAACTTTGTTTATCGCAACCTAATTCGCAATTCCTGCTGCTCTCTTAATGGTTGGAGCATGCATTTTCAATTTTATTATCGCAATCTGGCGGTACCCACGTCAACATAGAGAATGATCGGTGGAGTCGCTTATTTTCATAGTAATTAAGTGCGGTGATCCAGGAAAACCTTCACATGGAAAGCAGATTGTCAAGAAAGGCTTTGTTTACGGCGGATGGATAAAATTTGAATGCGACAAGGATTATACTTTGGACGGAACTCATACTACTCACTGTCAAGCTAATAAGAGTTGGACTTCTCCTGTTCCAAGATGTTTGGGTAGGTTAAGTGTGCTGCTTGTGGTGTAACATTCATATAAAAGTTTTAGCTCAGCGTAAAAGGAACAGCCGCCCCAATCACCTATCAAAAAAACAATAATAATGATAATAAATTTTCTGAGAATTGAAAAAGACTCATTTTCTGTGAGTTGTTGAATCGAGCTAAGTTTTAGTTGTTCATTTTACTTAATTTCCTGCCTTTTTTTTATGCCCGTCTTTTCGAATCCCTCTTCGCGCTTTCTCTTTTCTTTGGTCATGACAATAAAATGTAACGCCAATGGTCTATTGCATATTCTCTTTTTCTTTCAACATTCAATGCCAATATGACATTGTCTTTTGCATTAACTTCCATAGCACCGTGTGAAGGACCTGCGGACCCAATTCATGGTCGAAAGAGGGGTCGAGATTTCAGACACGGACGCTCTGTTAGTTTTGATTGTTTTAGTGGATATCAAAGAATCGGCGCTGCTTCCATCACGTGCAACGATGGTAAATGGGATAATCGAGTTCCACTGTGTAAAGGTAAAAAAAAAAAAGGTGATGGCGCATAAGAGCCAAAGGCCCAAACGGCCGGAGCTTATACCAGTTTTATTAGCATGAAGCACCTAGTAGTATTGCTACTCCCCCCCTGGACGGGATACTAGTCCATCGCAGGGTTACCAACAGCGGTATGCTGCCGGTACCCATTTATACACTTGGGAGACAAAGAGAGACAAAGAAACAAAGAGGAAAACCCGAAAATTCCGGGAAGAACTCAAATGGAACGCTTCCCAGTGGAAATTTTCCGGAAAAAAAGTAATACCTTTTGAGGTATTACCTTTTTCCCGTTTTTACCGAAGCGACCGACATTTTCTATACCACTTGCTTGGATTACCAGTGCCAGGCTTCAAGTCGAGAGAAAGCGAAAAATTTACTGGTGTTTCATAAATTGTACAACCCAATCCCGTTCCTGTTTTCGGTGCGAAAAAAAAATACCAGTACCATTTGACGGAAATTTTTCGGCGAAAAATTTCCGTACAAATGGTAAGCGCTCAAAGTGGAGTAAACTTCCTTGTCTAAGGAAACAACGTAAAGGGCGGTGCTTGAACCCCGGACCTCCCATCCGGAACTGGCATGAGGTGTTAACCACTTAGCCACACAAGCCTCCACTGTGCACTGTGTAAAGGTTACAGAAATAGTCCTTACTTTATTTTATACTGACTAAGAGAAGGCTGAATGAAGATAGGCAGATGAAACAATAAGTAAATTAAGGTATTATTTTGTTTAAAGGTGTAAGGCAATCAATCCTTGGGAAAGTTCACAAGAAAAAATACACTTCATTTGAAACGTTGCCTTTGCAGGTGTTTGTGGAAGGCCACGTACTTCACTCAGGGTAAGATTGCACGGAAACAGTTACCTCGATGGAGACAAGGTTACATTTTCTTGCAATGGAAATCACGATTTGTTTGGGAAAGCCGAACTAAGTTGTGTTGGCCGAGCATGGGATTCCACCGTACCAGAGTGTAAAGGTACCTTAAAGCGTGTTAAACTGCCCTTAAAGAACCAAAGTAAGGAAAATCGTATGAATAAGGGCGATTTTCATTTGCATGCATCTATCACAATTAGGTGTATAGTAGTCTGCTGCACAGCCGTTTTTAGAGTCGTCACGCAATGCTCCTCCCCACAAACGGGGAGGAGCGTTGCGTGACGACACTAAAAACGGCTGTGTAGAAGACTAGGTGTATAGCAGCACTTAAGCGTGAACTAAGGTGTAGTTTGGGGGTAAATACAAATGAGCATTCTCAATCGTTATCATAACATTTTCAAAGTCCCTGTTTCTAACATAACTATTCTTCTGGCTTTTTCCGTAGCTCGTTGCGCGTTAATTGAAAAACCGAAAAATGGTTTTTATGTCAAAGTCACAAGAGAAGGTGATATAATAAAGCATGGTGAGTGGATAAACTACGGCTGCATCGGAGGTTACACATTGGTGGGGAACGGTACTCAAGAATGCAGAGATGGACGGTGGACCAATCCTATACCAGCCTGTAAAGGTATGTGTACTGATTAACTTAACCACCTTTTAAGGACTCAAAAATTCATGCTGCATTTTTATATCTGACAAAAATTTTAATGTGACATTTAACATGAGCTTTTCATTTTTTTTTTTTTTTTTCGAAAAAGGCTTACCAATTTCGTGGAAAACGGTTCATTGCGTCAAAACGGGTGTCGCAGCCGTTCGTAGTGTCCGGTAAACACATTACCTCGCTGTCATTAGCACTGCGAGGTCAATGTTACAGGCAAATTAAAGCAGCAAAATCATTGTAACATTCGTGGGACCTAGTTCCCCAGGAAGTGACCCTATGTTATTTTCAAAGGACTAAGACATGCACATAACGGTTACTAAGGAAGGCTTGACGCGTGCTGGTGATAAATTTTGGGGGTTGTTTTATATTTCTCAGACAACTTTATTTTTTTTAGTAGCTTACCTTTAGTTCTACATTCATTCTACATATCACTGCAATTTTTTTTTATTATTTTATTTTGCAGCCAATTGTTTAGATCCAGGAGCTCCTTATCAAGGAAAAACAATTGATCAAGATTTCCGTCACGGCCGCACAGTTAGATTCACTTGCCCCAGAAATTACACCATTGAGGGCGTGGCGGCAATAAAGTGTACAGATGGTCAATGGAACAATAACAAGCCAAGCTGTAAAGGTAAAATAGCTTCAGTGACTTTATTAGAAAAACAAAGAAACATACACAACAAAACCAACCAAGCCCATCAGAAAGCTTTTGCGAGCCCCATCGAACGAAAAAAAGTTGTTTTAAGATTAAGACAAACAAGCAAGGGGCACACATACACCAACCTATGACCTGGCCAGTGCCTCACGCATGCGTACGGCCATATCACCCCGACAGTGGCAGCCATGGACAGCTGTTTCGCCCTTATTGGGGCTCATAAGCATGGCATAGTCGTCTGATCTCTATATATAAGGATAAAACCGTCTTCAGAAACCCTTAACCGCCGAGGCAAATGTAAAGCAATCCATTGAGGACCAGCTCCACACAATAAATGTGGGAGCTGTTGGCTGGCAACCGCAAACCAGCTCTTCCACGACATGCGCGGAGAAGACGGATCAGGAGTTACCCTGATCTGTGTGCCAGCAAATTCAATATGACAAAATTAAACGCGAAAGACGCACATACACCAAATATTCTCCCTCCTTTTACTAATATTATGAATTGTTATTTGCCAGCCATTCATATTAAATATGAACTTACCTATAGGCCTCCTAGTTCCGATTGATTCAGTGTAAGTTTAAAATCTTCGTTTCAATGTTTCCCTTTTCATCTCATTTTGATTTTGCAGCCCCTTGTCCAGATCCAGGAGTTCCTTATCAAGGGCAAACAATTGATCAAGATTTCCGTCACGGCCGCACAGTTAGATTCACTTGCCCTATAAATTATGTCATGGAGGGCGTGGCAGCAATAACATGTACAGATGGTCAATGGAACAACAACAAGCCAAGCTGCAAAGGTAACTTGTCATTACGAAACAGAAATAATGTGATACTTCAGTCAGCTTTTTTTCTTTGTCTACAAAAGTTTGCCGATTTCGTTGAAAACGGTTCTTTGCGATAAAACGGGTATCACACCAGTTCGTAGTGTCCGGTAAACACATCAACTCGCTGAGTGTCATCCGATTAAGTAGAAAAATCATTGTGCAATTTGTGCAGTGAGACCTGGGTCCGACAGAGAGTTACCCTAAACTCTTTTCAAATGACCATTACATGCACTTAACGGTTACCCAAGAACGTTTGGCGTGTGCTCGTGATAGTTTTTTGGGGTAGTTTTTTATATTTCTCAGAAATGTTTGTTGTTTTAATGGTTTATCTTTAGTTCTACATTTAAATATCACTGCAAATATTTTCTATTTTGCAGCCAATTGTCTAGATCCAGGAGTTCCTTATCAAGGAAAAACAATTGATCAAGATTTCCGTCACAGCCGCACAGTTAGATTCACCTGCCCTATAAATTATGTCATGGAGGGCATGGCAGCAATAAAATGTACAGATGGTCAATGGAGCAATAACAAGCCAAGCTGTAAAGGTAACTTGACATTAGAAAATAGAAATAATGTGACACTTCGGTCAGAAATTTCTTCTTAATTTGTCTACAAAAGCTTGCCGATTCCGTGGAAAACGGTTCTTTGCTGCAAAACGGGTATCCCACCCGTTGTATATGTAGTGTCCGGTAAACACATTACCTCGCCGTCATTAGCACTGCGGTTAAGTAACAAAATCATTGGGATATTTGTGGGACTTGGGTCCCATAGGAAACGACCCTGTACTCTTTTCAAAGGACTCAGGCATGCACATAACGGTTTCCCAAGAAGGCTTGGTACGTGCTGGTGATAAATTTTGGAGGTAGTGTTCATATTTCTCAGACATGTTTGTTGTTTTAGTGGTTCAGCGACCTTTAGCTCTACATTCAAATATCACTGCAAATATTTTAATTTTGCAGCCAATTGTTTAAATCCAGGAGCTCCTTATCAAGGAAACAGAATTGATCAAGATTTCCGTCACGGCCGCACAGTTAGATTCGCTTGCCCCAGAAATTACGTCATGGAGGGCGTTACAGCAATAAAGTGTAGAGATGGTCAATGGAACACTAACAAGCCAAGCTGCAAAGGTAAAGGAACTTTAGTCGCTTTCAGTGACTTAATAAGAAAAACAAACAAACATACACATTAAAACAAACCAAGCACACCGGAAAGTCTTTAAGGTGCGCCATCGCCCGAAACAAACTTGTTTTAAGATTAAAGCAAACTTAAAGCAAGGGGCACTCATCAGTACCAACCTACGACCTTGCCAGTATCTAAGGTATGCACGCAGCTATATCTCCCCGACAGTGGCAGCCATGGAGAGCTGTTTCGCCCTTATTGGGGCTCATTAGCAAGGCATAGTCGTCGGATCTCTATAAGGATAAACCCGTATTTAGAAATCCTTAACTGCCGAGGCAAATGCAAAGCAATCCTTCAAGCGCCAGCTCAACACAATACATGTGGGAGCTGTTTGCTGGGAACCGCACGGCCGTTCTCCCACGACATACGCAGGGACGGCGCGGGAAAGGCACAGAAGTTACCCTGATCTGTGTGTCAGTAAATTCAATAAGACAAAGTTTAACTTAAAGCAAGGGGCGCCTATCCTCTCTCCCTTTACTAATCATATGAATTGTAATTTACCAACCGTTCATATAAATATGAATTTACCTCCCTATTTCAGATTGATTCAGTGTAAGTTTCAGCAAGTTTGCATTGTTTTTTTTTTTTCATCTCATTTTGATTTTGCAGCCCCTTGTCCAGATCCAGGAGTTCCTTATCAAGGATACACAATTGATCAAGATTTCCGTCACGACCGCACAGTTAGATTCACATGCCCTATAAATTATGTCATGGAGGGCGTGGCCGCAATAAAATGTACAAATGGTCGATGGAGCAATAACAAGCCAAACTGTAAAGGTAACTTAACATTAGAAAATAGAAATAATGTGACACTTAAGTCAGTTTTTTCCTTCTTTGTCTACAAAAGTTTGCCGATTCCGTGGAAAACGGTCCTTTGCGGCAAAACGGGTGTCACACTGGCCGTTGTAGTGTCCGGTAAACACATTACCTCCCTGTCATTAGCACTGCGGTTAAGTAACAAACTCACCGGGATATTTGTGGGACTTGGGTCCCATGGGAAATGACCCTGCACTCTTTTCAAAGGACCCAGGCATGCACATAACGGTTACCCAAGAAGGCTTGGCACGTGCTGGTGATAAATTTTGGATGTAGTGTTCATATTTCTCAGACATGTTTGTTGTTTTAGTGGTTCAGCGACCTTTAGCTCTACATTCAAATATCACTGCAAATATTTTTTTTAATTTTGCAGCCTATTGTTTAAATCCAGGAGCTCCTTATCAAGGAAACAGAATTGATCAAGATTTCCGTCACGGTCGCACAGTTAGATTCACTTGCCCTATAAATTATGTCATGGAGGGCGTGGCAGCAATAAAATGTACAGATGGTCAATGGAACAACAATAATCCAAGCTGCAAAGGTAACTTGACATTAGGAAATAGAAGAAATAACTAAGCCAAAAAGCCAGCAAGTGAGAAAGTCTTTAACCAGCTTCTAATAAAGGACTCGAGATCTGCTACATTTATAAGATGGGTAAATTAGGGTCCCCATCAAATATATATACTTGGATATCCTCACTTCTAATGGGGATCTCCAAGGATGATAAAATTTTAAAGTGGGACATAACAAGGTTAAGACTCTTATTTGACAGAAGGTTAAGCAGTTGGCTATTTTACATTAGCGTGCCCGAACATTTCAACTCGGGACTTAACATGTGAACAAATCATCAAGTTAACGGTCAGGGCACGACTTGAACTCAGGGCCTCCGGATTCCTATTTTTGCGCTCTAACTGGATTAAAAGACTGGCTTTAAGAATTGTCCTGCATTTCCTTCTCATCAAGTTGAATGTATATATATATTTCTTAATCCTAATATTTGAAGATTTAAAATTTAACTAAGTGCAAATAGAAATTTGCAAATATATAAAGATTATTTTCATTATATCTGTCTGATTTCGTTAAAACGTGGCCACTAGGTTTTCGCCTGGCTCCAGGCCAGTCCAGGTCTAACTAAGTAGGGGGCTTGCCGTCTTGGTCGGTACAGCTGGATAGCCAAGGGACTGCCCTAACAGTGGGTGGGTGGATCAGGGCTGGGTGTCAAAACTAATGGGGTAGGGAGGCGGCTGTTTTAAGCAGCAGTGTTCAGTAGAGGCTTTTACTGCTGAGAATGATTATCATGATCGATAACTGCAGAGCTCTGTGGGAGAGGCGGACAGTCGTTCATTGTCCTAGGAGGTGGGAGTCAAAGTCTAGGATCCAAGGACACACCTAGCATGGGACCTGTAGACACTGACTGAAGCTATGTTTACATAAATTTGGTCAGATACATATAATTATAAATCGGCTAACCCTTTTGAATTAACCCACATAGCACCGTGTGAAAGACCAGCGGATCCAACCTATGGCAGAAAAAGGGGTGGAGATTTCAGACACGGACGCTTTGTAACATTTTACTGCTATAGTGGTTATCAAAGAGTCGGCGCTGCCTCCGTCGTGTGCAACGATGGTAAATGGAATAATCAAGTTCCACTGTGTAAAGGTAAGGGACATGGTGTTCATTTATTTCACATTTACAAGAAGGATGAAGATGGCACAGAATTTTTTAACAAAACTAGTGAAATAGATCCCAGTCTGTTGACAGGAAAAGGTTATTTCAGTTCTATTTGATGTGCCCCAAAAACTGAAAAATGTATTCGAATTTTTGAGTTTGCAGGTGTCTGTGGAAGACCTCGTACTTCACTCAGGGTAAGATTGCACGGAAACAGTTATCTCGATGGAGACAAGGTTACATTTTCTTGCGATGGAAATCATGATTTGTTTGGGAAAGCTGAACTGAGTTGTGTTGGCCAGACATGGGATTCCCCGGCACCAGAGTGTAAAGGTACGTTTCCCTTTGAGTTGATTCCTTGGAGAACGCGAGTTCCGCACTAAATCAATCAATCAGTTTATTTATGTCAATACGTGGGATAGGGTTGCCCCGATCGTCCGAGCCGGAGGCTCAAGTATGAAACGTATGACAATAAAAGTAGACAATAATACATTTCAATAAAAATAATTTTAAAATATCATTAATGCACAGAGGCAAATAAAAATTATTATATTTGAGAGGGTTATTAATATGTAAGAAATACTCAAAACGACATCCACCCGTATCCCACTGAATTAATTAAAAACTAAAAACCCGAAGAAAAAAATAAAAAATAAATAAATAAATAAATAAATAAATCTAAGAAATAGTAAAAACCATAAGATACACATAAATTACATTTACAACTGGCCCTTAAGTTTATAAGATTAAAAGTTCTTCTATTCTTACGAAATTCACCCAACTCAGCCGATCTCTTAATGTAAGAAGAAAGCTGATTCCACATATGCGAAGCTTTGCAAGTGAAAGAATTGTGACAATATCGATTATTAAAGGATGGTTGAGTGAGATTGTCTTGACTGGTCCTTAAATTGTAACGCAACGAGGTTTGAATAACTGATTAGAGATATTAAGTAATATTTTAATTTTAATTAATTAATTTATTTTTATTTTTTTCTGTTAGTGCGCATTAGATCATATATTTGAATGCTATTTTGCGCCTAATAAATAATAAATTATTATTAAACTATTATTATTTTAGGGCCTATTTCCTTTTATACATTTAAAAAGGAGGACAAGAGATTGGTAATACCGTCTATGTTCTAATGATTTCATCCAGACAATATGGAATCTTAATCTACGCTGTTTCCGAAATTTAAGAGGGCTTTTAAAGCATAATAGTTTGTAGATTCAAGTTTCTTGTTCAAAGTTTTGTTAACCTCTAATATTAATTGACTACAGTATTCAAGGTATGGAAGTATTCAAGCCTTGTACAGCATTTGTGAGATATCAGTAGCCACCAGCTTTATCAGTCGTCCTAGAGCTCCAACTTTGGCATAGACCTTCTTTAAAACGGTTGATAGGTGGTCTTTAAAGGACAACTTGTCGTCACCAAGAATATTCAGGAAGCCATTTATTTCGATAAAAGAGTCACTATTACGAAGAGCAGGTTCAAAATGGATCAACGCTCTGCGTCTTTAAGTAGGGGAATACGTGGATAACGGGTCTCTTTCTATTGCAACGTTGATTCTTCATCTATCTTTTCGCTGTACAGCAGCACTTACAAGATCCTACCCTGGATAGATACATAAATAGAAGGGCATTCTCAATCGTCATAATAAAAAGGTTCAAAGTTGGGTCTGACAGTTCATTTCTATATGAATGATAAGGATTGTCACCGATTTTGACATAACAACACTCCATCTATTGTAGCTCGCTGCACCTTAATGGGACCACCAAAAAATGGCTTTTATGTCAAAGGTACAAGAAATAAAGGTGATATGATAAAGCATGGCGAGCAGATAAATTACGACTGCATCGGAAATTACTCGTTGGTAGGAAACAGCACTCAGGGATGCAGCGATGGCCAATGGAGCAATCCTAGCCCTACTTGTAAAGGTATATATAATAAGGTTAATCTCCTGTGCTATTTAATTTCTGAGTTAAATCAAGAATCGTTACTTTTTTTCCTTTTTGGGGGGGTTAAAAAAAAATAAAGAGGGGTTTTGACAAGTTAGCATTGTCGGTGTCTTTTCCGTATTTCTTCTATTTTCTTCCTGCGACATATGCCACAATTATGCATCCAGAATTGCAAGTTGTATCGCCATGAAAATTTGCTGGCATAAAAACTATTCACTCGAAATTTTAGCAGTAAATGACTTAGCTAGAATAGCAAAAATAGCAAGAATAACAATTTTAACAAAGGGAAAGGCTTACAAGCAAAAAAAGGAGAGAAAGCCCTCGAGTAACATATTTATTTCAAAGCTCTAGTTTTCTGAATTTTCTTTTCCGGTAGCTCCCAATACTGTTATAAAAGGTTGTTGTTGTTGTTGTTGTTGTTTTTGTTGATGCTGTCACGGTTGTTGTTGTAGCTTTCAGTATGACTGGTTGATTGACTTTATCAAGTCAATACATTCCCCCGCCGAATCACTATGAAACTACTAACAATGCCATTCGTTTCTTCTTTGAATTGCCCTTCAGCTATTCAAAGACTGCAAATATTGCGCGTTCAGTCTTTCGAGTCATGTGCGGCGCAGGAAGGAAAAGACATGTTTTTCGCGATGACAAACTGCCTGAACGTAGAACGCTTTGATATTTCTTGCAAAATACCGGATGGTTCAAACTATTACTATGTCACATGTGCCCAGCTGAAAATGAGATATGTGTGGTTGTGCAAAACTGGAGTAAAGAAAGACCCATATTGTTGCGATCCTGTGTGTCCAACCTAAGGAATAAAATTAAAAGCTACAATCAGCGACAAAATAAATAGTCGAGACTCTTTGCCCTAAAGGGGCCTTCCTAAAGTTTTGCCAACTTCAAAAGGAGCAAATAAAGCTCTCCCTTCCCCATTGCTTCCATGCAATGTTGTGCAAATGCTGTGCCACTGTTCAAGGATCCTGCGCAGGGAACAACAAACTCCTCAACTTTTAATGAAGGGGGAGGGGTGTGGATTGTTTTGTTATCCGAATTTTTCCCATTTGAGGACAGTTTTGACTCAAAAATTTTGTCGCCGATTACACTAAAACATCATTTTTTTTTCTAAAATAAAATAAAAACGAAAAAACTTTTAGCGTTTTTAGTATTTCCGTTAAATAATCATAAAATATTAATAAAGTGGGATTATATGCATGGTTTATTTTATTATTATTATTATTATTATTATTATTATTATTATTATTATTATTATTATTATTATTATTTTATTTTTCCCCTCAGAACTACTTGCATTACTTGTTTTGCGGGGAGCCAAATATGCGGCACATCTGTAATCGTTTGGGCTGTAGAAAAAAAGCGTTTTTTAAACTCAGGCAAATAAAGTCAAATTAATTAAAAACAACTGCTGTTAGTAACTACTGCTACCAGACGCCTCTTTCTTGATATTCGGTGGGCGCGCTAAGCTATGGGCCGAAATGGACTTGATTGGAGATTAGATCGCGAAATGAGGAGGCGATTATTCTGCACGAAACAGGATTTACTCGATAAAGGTTTTTTACTTCCTTCTTTATCGAAGTCAATGCTTTTTAATTGTTTCAGAATTGATTTAGTACGCGTGTTAGCGACGACCGGAAGGAAATACGTTTGAGGTCGCAGGCTAATACGCCTGTATCTCATACAAGAAAATTCAAGGGCCTCGATCACAGAGAAATTACATCTTCATCGCCAGAGATCAAAAGAGTGATTTACATGGCACGTCATTTCAACCATCGCCGAAAATAAACCGCATGCTCATCACAGGGACATTTGCATACAATGAAAGTTTACAACACCAGACCATCGCAGTTTTGCTAATTAAGATTCTTATTTTTTTTTTTTGACCGCGCAGTAGTGTTCACTTGTTCCAAAGTCATCAACGCTTCCAAGCGAAGAATTCGTGAACCGAAACGTTTCGAAAAAGCTCTCAATTTAATCTTTCCCAAGCTTTCCTTGCAAAACATGCGTGGCTTCGATCACGCCACAATTCTTATTCCCAGTTTCCACGTTCTCCGCTGGGAATGCCTCGCACAATGATACCCTTTTGTGTCCTAAATACAAGAAAAACACGTTACAGATTATGAGTCTCGCTGCTTAGGCAAACGAGACTAACTAATCTTGGCATGGCATTCAGCGTAACAATCTTCACTGTACCCAAAAATGAAAAGATTAAACGTCTTAAATAATATAGTAGACAAAGAGATACATTTAAAGACTACCCCTACCTGGTAATTGCAATTTAAACAATTGCAAATTAACCCCCAAAAAATACGGGACTTCAACGGGAGGAGGAAGGGGGGGAGGGTTATTTTCAACCCCTTCAAGTGCAAATACAATTACCCCCTGCTTAACCACGCGACCAAATCGAAGGTTTTATTAAACTCAATCGGAACTTAATGGTCTGATTGGATTGGATTAAGTTCGGTAATCGAACACAATCGAACTCTCCCAAATACGTTTAAGTTATAACAACAACAACAACAATTTATTGTACCAATAGTAAAAAAATAGGATTAGAATACGATTATAACATGCTAATAACAATTTGTGGTACTGGCTGTCTGGAATAACCACGGGGCAATAACCACGGGGCTAAAAAGACCAGACAGCCATTTTGAAATAAAATTATCTGAAGTAGGAACATGACAACACGATTACAAAGTATAGCGGCCATCTTGCACGCCGACCGCTGACTCCGACTTTAATTAGCCTATCGGTGGTCAAAGTTGGCGTGCATTCGATTAAAAGTGGGACGTTAGAAACGATAATTGCGTGTGTTTTGCTGAATGTTTCCTTTTTCAGGGGTGTGTTACAACTGAGTACATTTCGGAAGTGGTTGTGGCGGGTCAGTGTAGTGTATTTTTTGGAGCGAAAACACTGATATAGAACAACACCCGGGAAGAACAAGACTACATTACCATGCACCTTTACCCTTTAATCCCTTTAATCAACCTCCTCAATCACAGAGTGATATTATGCTTCGTTT